CGAGTTCTCACCCAGCTCAGGGAGGGGGTCAGAGAAAGGACAGCTTGGAATCTGGATGCCTGGGTTCTCCCCCCAGTTCTGCGAGTGAGGGGCAGAGGGCATGTCCTGGGGCCAGGGAAGGGATCCCATGGGGACTCACCTCTGCTTCCTGCCGCCCGGGGTCTGCTGGGGCGTAGAGGTGCTGCCCAGAGAGAGGGGCAAGCTGAGCCGGGGAGCACCAGGGACCCTAGAGGAAGGGGAGAAGCAGAGAGGTTTCAGAGGCAGGGGGGAGGACCCAGGTGTCCGGGCTCCCAGATCTACCCCATCGCACCCCACTCCCCTCCCAGAGTTGGGACAGAACCCAGGCATCTGGGCTCCCAGCCCCTCCAGGTCTACCCCAGCAGGTGCCACTCCTCCCACCCCACCCCACCGAGAACCCAGGTGCCTGGGCTTCCAGCCCCTGGTGCTCCAATCTGCCAGCCCCTTCTCGCATGCCAGAGAACTCAGGCATCCAGCCCCACTGCTCTACCCCGCTAGATGCTGCTCCTCTCCCAAAGAACCGAGGTGTCCGGGCCTCCATCCCTCCCCCCACCACAGTTGCCCCCACAAGCCCCAACTCCCTTCCCCAGTTGCCTCCACTCACCTCTCAAAGACTCCAGGCACGTGCGCTCCCAGCTCCCTCCCACTCTCTTCCCAGAGAACCCAGGCGCCCAGGCTCCCAGGCAGAGTGAAAGGGGCTGGGGGCAGGTAGGGACCCAGGCATGGCCCCCCACCACTCACCTGTCCTGGAGGGAGCTATTGCCAGAGCTCCCCGACAACTGGAACACCTCCAGGGCCAGGCTGCCCGTCCCACCTTCATCGTCCTCGTCGTCCTCCCAGTCGCTAGAGAAGCTGCCGTAGGCAGGGAGCAGCGGGGAGCAGGGCGGGGTGGTCGGGGGGCCCTGGTGCCAGTGGGGGAGACTGCACAGCGCCAGCCAGGCCCCCCACAGCAAGCTCATCAGCCCCTGTGGGTGGGCAGGGAGAAGGGGGGAGATTAAGTGGGGCAGGAGGCAAAGAGCACAGGAGGCAAGCAGCAGGGGGGCACTGACCTGGAGCAGCACAGTGCCCCACTCCAGCCCAGCTTCAGCCAGCAGAGCGAGGCGGCGCCAGCGGCCCGTGCAGCGCATGAGGTCAGACTCCAGAAGGGTCTCCGCTGAAGGGCGGAACCGGGGGTCAGGCTCCAGCATGGCAGCCAACAGGGCCTGCAGCTCCAGTGACAGGCCTGGGTGGGGGTGGGGGGAGAGGAGGAGATGATAAGGAAGACCTCTGCGGTGCCCCGGCCCCAGGCACCCTTGGACCAGGGAAGGACCCAGGCATCCGGGCTCCCAGCACCCCCTGCTTCTCCCCACCAGGCCACACTACCCACCTGGACCTCCAACTTGCCATACTTCCCTCTGCCCCCCACAAACACAGGCATCCCCAGCTCCGAGACTTACCCACTTCAACCCTCCCCAGACCCCAGCCCTTACCCAGAGAACCCCAGGATCCTGGCTTCCAGCTCCCCTTGCTCCCCATCCCCCCGGAGCTGGGGTGGAGCCCCGGCATCCAGGCCCTTCCCCAGACGTACCAGCTGTGAACTCAGGGGGCAAGTATCCCTGCCGCAGCTGCTGCCAGGCCTCACCCCCCGTGGGCAGCTCCAGGTTGCAGGCGACCTCCAGGATGGTCATGCCCAGGCTGGGGGTAGGGGGCAAGAGTCACGAGTGGGGGAGGCAAGATGGGCAACTGCCCCCTCCCACCCCAGGCAACTGCCCCGTCCAGGTGGCTGCAGCCCACAACATTCAATCGGAGCGTGCCTGGTCAGTCAGAACAGGGTGGGGTGGGAGCAGGGGCAGGGGGAAGTTGGGCACCTGGACGCCGGGGTCCTAACCTGAAGACGTCAGCAGCGGGGCTGTAATCCCCACGCAGCAGCTCGGGCGCCATGTAGCGGGGGTCGCCCTCCTGCGCTTCGCCCAGTTCGGCCTGGCCCAGCTCAAGGGCCAAGCCAAAGTCGCCCAGCTTGCAGACACCGCGGGCAGTGAGGAAGACGTTGGCCGGCTTGACGTCCAAGTGGGCCAGGCCACAGACACGCAAGTGCTGCAGCGCCCGCAGCAGGTCCCAGAGCCAGGCGCGGACACGGCGCTCAGGCGGGGGCTGCCCGCGGGCCTCGCAGTGCTGCAGCAGGCTGCCCGGGCACAGCTCCGTCTGCAGGTAGAGCTGGCCCCGCTCCTCCCAGGCCTGTGCCAGGCCCAGGCAGTTGGGGTGGCGCCCCACGCGCCCGTGCCGCCGCGCCTCTGCCAGTTTGCGGTGCCGGTCGGCCGCCCCCCGGAAGGGCTCCACCGACCGCTTCACCGCGTACAAGCGCCCGTCCGCTCGGCTCCGCACCTGGGGGAAAGCGGGGGGCAGCCTGGGCACCCGGACCCCTGCGCTCCTGCTCCGGCCATCCCACGGCTCCCGCCACGCCCCAGCACTCCTCCCCCTGCCCCCCTACCTTGTAGACCTCGCCAAAAGAGCCGCGGCCTAGGTGGCCCAGCACCTGGAAGCACTGGCGGAAGAAAGACTCCCGCTTGGCGGGGTCATACAGCGGGGGCGCGGCCTGCCCAGGGCCCCCGCGGCACCACACGAGGCGGGCCCGCGGCTGGCTCCAGGGCTGGGGCTGGCAGCCGGGGAAGACACGGCTCACGGTCGGGGGCACTTTGTGGCGCGGCCGGGACAGGAGGGAGTAGCCCGACGCCCGCTGGGGCCTCTTGGCTGAGAAGCTGCCCTCGGCCTCGCGGAAGAAGGCCGGCACGGGCAGGGGCGTGCAGCTCAGCCGGGGCTCGGGGCCCGCCTCGTCCAGGGGCACCGGCATGGCGTCAGCGCTGGCCGGGGCGAGAAAGAGGAAACATGGTTAGCAACGTGGTTAGCTCCCCGCGCACCCCCTCCCCTCCGCACGAGCAGGCGCAGGCAGGAGCACGGCCTACTCGGGGCGCCCACGCGACCGGGGAGCCCGGGCCCCTGCACTAGGGGCGAGGGGCAGGCTGGGGCTGCGCTCCTTGGCATGAGCAGGAGGGCGCTGCCGGGAGAGGAGGAAGGGCAGCCCCGTGGCGTGAGGGCTGGGGCGGAGGGGCAGCCCCGTGGCATGAGGGGCTGGGGTGGCATGAGCGGGGCGGGGCGGGGCTCACCTCCAGGGCCCGGATGTGGCGGGTCCCCCGCGCGGGA